TAGGAACTAGATTTACAGGTAGTTGTGAGCCACCATATGGGTGCTGGAACCAAACTCAGGTCCTCTGCCAGAGCACCAAGTGCTCTTACCACTGGGCTATCTCTCTAGCCTCAACACATGAATTTGCAAGTGGTTTCATATCTCAACCATAACAAAATCCTTGGTTCTTTTTCCAATTTTACTTTTTAATATTTTATTTATTCAGTGTGTGTGTGTGTTTCCATCCTACATATCACTCCAGAAACACCTAAGACTCAATCTTGGTGAACATTGGAAACAGAAGCTAATGAAACTTCAGCAGTCATAGGGAAAAGCTAACAGCCAAGGCAGCTGAAGAGATGGAGGGCTTTGATTCCTCTGGTCTTGAACTCCAGTCATATCATAGGCAGCTTAAATCTGCCCAAAGAAAGTGAGAGAACAAAGAAATTCAGATACGCCTTCATTAAAACATACAGGGAGGTGGCTTTCTCAAAACGTCTAGCGTTGTGGGGAAAGTAAGGCACTCACCAGTTTGATGCTCACAGTGGAAGTACAATCAGTTCTTCCAGCAGCCCAACAGGCTATAAGCAAGGGTTGTCTTCTATGTGTGCTTTAATCCAGTTTCTACTCCTACAATAGACACCAGAGGCTAGTATCTTGGTAATTTATAAACAACAGAAGTTTATATGGTGCCATGTTGTTTTAATCTGGGGGGAGTTTTGAGGCAGAAGGGCCAGTGAGCTCAGGCAACACAGAGACAGAGTGAGCAAGAGAGGGGGAGGGGCCAAAATACACAAGAATTTACCCTGAAATTACTTCCATGGTCATGGTATGATGGTGACAATCTTAATTATCAATTGGATTGAATTAAGAAACTCCCAGGAGATTAGGGTCTTGAACCTGCCTCTCTCTGGTGCTGTCTCTGGCAGCATTTTAAGATGAGTAGATCCTGAGGACTTTGAATTATTAAATGGGTCAAACCTCAGTGTGTTAAGCTATGAGAGTGGTGAAGGGTGGGAAGCACAGCTTTGTAGGATGAAGATTAACTGGGGTCTTGAACTTGGGGTTGTATTTTAGCCATGGCGTATTGCTCTGAGCCCTTTGTTCTGCTTCCTGGCTACCATGATATACATTGTTTGCCACTCCCTCCTTATCATAATGGACTGGCACCTCTAAAATTTATCTTTGAGTCTGCACCAAAGTATTTCCTTCTCAGTTACATTGTGTGTCAGAATTGGTGATGATCATAAATTAATGAGTTCTTGAGATTAGAGTTTTTAAGACGCAAAATCTGTTTAGAGGCCTCACTTTTCAACCCTCTTACAGTAATAGTAAAAATTTAATAGCAGGTTTGGATAGGGCATTGCAAACATGGATTTGTACAGGAGCAATATTAAGCCTCAAAAGCAGACACTATATGCCATCACACACAGATTTGAGAGTTCTGACAGAAAAACAAGCAAGTTTCAAGCTTCCTTCTAAGATCAACGTGGATTACAGCCGTACCTGTCAGTCATGTGCAGAGAAGATCTCAGTGTTGTCGTTGCTGCCCTTGTTCAGTCTACCTGTTCAGGTTAACTGGAATTACTCAATAGGATACAGTCAGAGGAATTAGGATTATCAAAAATTTAAAAACATTTTTCTAATGATAAAAACACTAGGTAGTCTACTTTTCAAAAATTATTTTTAAAATATATAAAATTGGGAACATAAAGTAGAAGCTATCTCTAAAGTAATAAGATTGACCAACAGGGAATGTTATACACAGCTCAAGACAATGAAGAGGAAAACCTGATCTCTCACTAGGAGATGATACATTATCCCAGTTATATGTAGAAAATTTTAAATAAAAAACTCAGTGATTGTGAAGGAAATTTAGACAAGTATTTTCAAACTTTCAAGGAATAGGTATTGTCCATGTAGTTGCATGACTTATTTTTTTACATATTACTCCCATACATGTTAACAACAGAGTGCATTGTTCATTAGTCTTCTGTTGTAAGTTATATGCAAAACACAGGGACAATTGATGGTTGTTTTCATGGTAACTTACCACAGGATGGCATGTTAGGGAGTGGAGTAATATGATACGGTGTTATGACAGAGAGGGGTCAAACAGCTGCATGTTGAGCAACAGAAGTAGCAAGCTTTTGTTGATTCTCGGGATGGGCTAAAGTTTGGTAGAGTTATCTACTGGTTTCAAAAGATGTTTGTGTCTTGTGAGCTACCATTCTGGTGTTGGGCTTTGTAGGCTAACAGGTGTGATGTAATCCAATTAACTGCCAAATGACTCATTATTTTGTATAAGTAGCCTGACCATGGTTTGCTCTGAATTTACAAGGTTGAGGCTCATTAGGTGCTTGATCTGTGGAGAAACACACAACATCTCTAACAAGTTAGTCCTGAATTATTTTAATATTGATAAAAACCCATTTTAAAGCCCAATATGCAGAGCTGAGAAGAATCTGACCAAGGGTCAAGATAACAATGGTGCTGATATGATGTGAATACATAGATACTGAACCTTTCCAATTTAGACATTTATTGGATAACAGGCTCCAGTGAAGTGTTACTGTTAAGGACAAAGGTGGCTTTCAAGTATCTGCAAAGTAACCTGGGGAATTGTTACCAGATCCACATGTTAAAGGTGGTAGCTTATAGCAAAGTCAATGTGAAGCTAATACATTGCTCAGCTAGGTCACCTCCATACTTAGTGAATTTAAGTTACTTAAGACTCTTTAAAGCTCCAGGACTTCTGATAGCATCAAGTGAGAGACTGATTATGAAAGGACTGTAATTTTGTTCTGATAAGCTACTTGAAAATCAACTCAGAAGTTGATTCTAAGAACTTGCTTAGACTATATTATAGAATTTCCCTGTCAGAAATAACTCACTCTCTCTCTCTCTTTCTCTCTCCCTCCCTTTCTCTCTCTGTTCTTTGTTTGTCATTAATCTATCTCGTGCTAGTCATAAGGACAGCTGAGTGTGCCAGGGTTCTGACACCTTGGCCTACTCTGGAGTTTTAAGGTAATCTGTCAAAAACATGTTTTCAGTGGGTAACAACTTACTGTGGTCCTTGCGTATATCATGTGGGACTTAAATAGGACACATGCAAGACGGTTTTTCTTATTCTTTTTAAGTTTCTATGATGCTTGTGTGAAGCAAGAAATTTGTGAAGAAGGTTTTAATTCAGTCAGAAAAAAGTCAGGAAAGCCTCTCACTGAAGGTTGACTTCAGGTGCTATCTGTGGATTATTTAATTTTATTTACCAAATTTTATTTGACTCAACCTTGCTCTGGGCATCCCAGTAGTCAGCTGGAATAAATGATGAATGCCTTGCTCATTGTTGTAATGTGACTTTAGAAAATACTGTTCTTGGTTTTGAATGCTAAAATAGTTTTGCTAAATATGCCCCCTGGTGGCCAAGAGAAGAAAACACTGCATTCACACTTTTCTTCTCAGGGATTTCTTCTCCACAAGAGGTCAATGTCAAAGATGCCAAAACAAAAAGGTTCAAGTTACTCAAATCCTTTCTCATTACAATCAGCCTTAACTCTCCACACTATATTATCTTGCGGCTCTATGTGTCAAAGAACTTACAACAAATAAAAAAAAAAACTATGTTCTCTCTCTCTCTCTTTCTCTCTCTCTCTCTCTCTCTCTCTCTCTCTCTCTCCAGAATGGCAAATTATACAATCTTTTCTGCCTCTAATCTCTGTCTTGTCTTCTGTCTACTATGTCTGTATCTTCCATATGAATAGAACACTTGTGTTCATGGGTGTCATGAAGAAACCACATAAAAGAAAGGACTGGCCTTTCTCAATGCTCATTGTCATAGAACCGCAGCAGAGCAGCTAATAGCATTCAGTTCAGGGGGCTTATGAGTCAGGCCACTACAGTGAACTCTCCTCATCAAACTTGAGTTTGCATTTATTTTCTTCTCGTGTCTGGAAATATTTTTGTGCTGTTTTTAGTAGAAAGGACAATAATTATCCCATACATCTCTGTGATGGCTTTTATTGATATGTCAATAAACTAGGCAGTTACTCAACCAGACATCCATGTAGGAGTTGCTGAGAAAGGATCTTGTGAACGTAACTAAAATCCCTAACCTATTACCTTCGGGTACAGATCATCCTGGACTATGTGGGTTGGTCTGACTTGACTCATTGAAAGTCTTCAAAGTCAGGACTGAGGTTCCCACTTGTTGGGAGAGCAACAAGGTATGATGCTCAACTTCTAGAGTGTTAGCCCAGCATGCTTGAAGCCCTGGGTTTGATACCCAACACTGCACAAACTAGACATGGTGGTGCCCACCTGGAATTCCAGAACACTGGAGACAGAGGCAGGAGGATTAGGTATGAGAGATCATTCTTGTTTACCTCATTCTTGATCTTGTCTCAAAGGGAGAAAGGGAGAAAGAGAAAGAGACATACAGAGACAGGGCTTCCTGTGGGGAACAACTTCAGCCCTGGACTCTGGTGTTCCCTTGGGTTCTCCTTCCTGATTGCCAGTGCTGTGGATATTTAGTCAGCCCTGAAAAATGTGTTAGCCATTTCTGATGAAGTTGTTTGCTAAAGCTACTGTTGAAAGAATACTACAAACTGCACCAGTCGCTAGAATAGCAGAGCTTTATTGTCTCACATTTTTGGAGGGCAGAGGTTCAAAGTCAGTATGTCAGCAGGCTGATTCTTTCTGATGGTTGACATTCTTCTCAGTGCTTTGCATCCCTCTCCCTTTGCTTCAGTAGGTGACTGTCAGTTGCTGCTGTCCCCCTGATGTTTATTTTCGTCTTCATATGGTGTGCCTCTCTCTGCATCCAAATTTCCACATTTTAGGAAGACATAAGTCATATAGATTGGCATGCTCCAATGGCCTTATTTTGGGTCAATTACTTCTGTAAAGATTTATCTCCAAACATAAGGGTCACCTTCTGGAGTATTGCAGTTTAGGATTCCAACACACTTAACAAGACGTTAATTTACCCAGCACTTACTGAGTAGACTGCTTAGTCAAATGCCTCAAAGCAGCTTACCAGGAACTTCCATTGCTCCAGGTGGCATGTCCCATGTCTCCAGAAGCAGTGATTCATCCTCTGGTATGGAGACACTGAGATCTGAGTATAAACAGAATTCTTGACTCACAGACTGTCAAATTTAGGACATCAGAAAATGATTTATGGTGACCTTATTATAATTGTGAAGACACTTCAATAAATAGGGCTACATGGGTCTCAAAGAGAGGTGGAGTATATTTTAACTTCAACCTGGGTTCTCTTTCAGCAGCTGTTTAAGGCCTAAACAAAATGGAGAGCTCAGGAAGTAGATAACCATCTCTTTGGATTTCCTGTACAGAAGAAGAATCATGAAGATATGGAGGTTGGGTAGCACAAGCATCCAGGACCTGGGATGGATGAAGGTACTTTATAAACTTTTTTGTGGGTATGTGTTCCACATTTGCTCATAGCCAAGTGAATCTTCTCTGATTTAATTTGTATTCTCAGTCTGTTTCTTTTTCTTGGTTTTTCTTTAGCTATGCTAGGAGTTGAACCTAGGACCTGATGCATGCTAAGAAGACACTCTACCATGGATCATAGCTCCCCACTCCACTTTTATAAATGAAGTATTTTTCCATCATTGGAAATAATGAGTCTTGGATGATATTACTAAGACCATACACCTAGAAAGGGCCAGCCAATTTCAGACATGCAGTTTACTTTCATTCTTTGTGGAGTACGTATGTATATGCATCTGTCTAATCACTAACATTTATTTGTAACCTGTTGTGGTTTGAATGAGAATGGCTCATATATTTGAATACTTGGATCCCAGATTGCAGACTGTTTAGAAAGGACCAGGCGTAGGGCTGTTTTGGGGGTGGTGAGTCACTAAGGGTGGATTTTGAAATTTCAAAAGCTTACTGTGGTGGTTTGAATGAGAATGGCCCCCATAGGCTCACATATTAAAATGCTTGATCACCAGGGAGTGGGACTGTTGGGGGGAAGATTAAGAGGTGTGGCCTTGTTGGAGAAGGTGTGTCACTAGGAGTGGGATTTGAAGCTTCAAAATCCCACTACAGGCCTAGTCTCCCCCTCTCCCTGCTTGGTGCCTTTGGATCAGAATGTAAAGTTCTCAGCTACTGCTACAGCACCTTGCCTATCTGCTTCCCACCATGATGATAATGGACTAACCATCTGAAACTACAAGCAAGCTCCCGATTAAATGTTTTATGTTATAATAACAGTCTTGATCATGTTGTCTCTTCACAGCAAAAAACATTAACTGAGACATTCCAGGCCCAGTCATGCTCTTTTTCTTGTGAATCAGGAGTAATCTCTCAGCTACCTGCCTGCCAGCATGCTTCCATCATAATGATCATAGACAAACCCTCTGAAACTGAAGCAAGCTCACGATTAAATGCTTCCTTTTGTAAGTTGACTTGTTCACGTGTCTCTTCACAACAGAAGGACAACTAAGATGTAACCCCACAGTCAATAGTCACAGTGCTCTTGTGAAACATTTGATGGCCATGTTACCAGCTGAGGTGGAACAAAGCTCAGTCTGTCACCTCCCCCCCATTTACTTACTTTATATGTATAAATGTTTCACTTGTGTATGCATATGTATGCACCATGTGTCTGCCTGATGCCTGTGGAGGCTATGAGAGAGTACTAGACTCCCTGGAATTCATGGTTACAAGCTGCCCTGAATACTGGGAATTGAACCTGGGCTCTCTGAAAGAGAAGAAAGTGTTTTTAACATCCATCTTTTCAGTCCCCCATTCTAACTTCTTGTTCCAGCTTTCATGCTACAAACAAAAGTCCTTGTCACAGTCTATTTGTCACATGCCACTTTTCTGTTGTTTGTGTGTATATGTGCTTTTGTGTTTTTTTTTTTTATTGGTGATTTAGTTGTTTAATATAGTTCCTAAGCACAGAGCTGAAGTGCTCCCTAGTGCAAGAAGAAGACCATAATATATCTCATGTAGAAAATACAAGAGCTTGAGTCAGGCAAGATGGCTCAGCTGGTAAAGGTGCTGGCTGCTAAACCTGATGACCTAAATTCAATTCCTGGGACCCACATGGTGGTAGAAGAGAACAGACTCCTGCAAGCTGCCTTCTGACCTCAAAATGTCTGTTGTGACAAGTGCATATGTATTTACACACACGAATGACCTAGGCATGGCTGTACAAACCTGTAGTCCTACCACTTAAGAGGTGGAGGCAGGAAGATTCTGAGGCTACATCAAATTCCAGGACAAAACTAGATCAACCAGATCAAAACTCATGTGCTAGATAAGCTGCCTCTTCTCCTCCTCTCATCCTCCTCCTTTTCGAGACAGGGTTTCTTTTCTTTTCTTTTTTTTTTTTTTTTTCTGTATTTTTAGAGCCTGTCCTGGAAAAAAAAAAACTGGCCTTGTAGACCTGGCTGGCTTCTGACTCACAGAGCTCAACCTGCCTCTGCCTCCCAAGTGCTGGGATTAAAGGTGTGGGCCACCACCACCTGGCCAAGACACATAAGCTTCTTTTAGACATGCATTATAGTGCTGTTCTCCATACTAGTGAGTGAAAAGAAAAATACATACTAAATAAGGTGGATTTAATGAAGCTTATATACTGACTGGTTGATAAACACACAAGAGGTTGTAAAACCTAACCACATCTATTCCTAGCAATATCATATAGTTTACTGTCCGTCCCCTATTCAGTGTTCTTGGGGAATTTATAGGATGCAATTGCCATAAAAAGCATTGGTGGTGCCCATGTTGCACTGCTCAGATTACCCTTTCCTACCATGATCTAAGGATTAGAACTGGGAGCCTGAGAGCTGATGCCTCCAACTTCTTACCTGCTCTAGAAATGAAGGAGACTTCAGCCTGGAAGCCCCTGGAAGTGCCATTCTCATCTGATTGGAAGCTGATGAGCATCACACTGGAGGTGCTCAGCACAGGGTCGGGTACCACATAGCCACATAGGCGAGCTGTGAGTCCCCATACAGGTAAGTGGAGCCAAGTGAATAGATACAGCATTAGATAAATAAAAACAAGTGTGCTTTAGATAGTTGTTGACAGGCTTTTATGACAAATACCACAACTCATCTTCAAAACAGGGATTTGCCTCTTCTAAATTTGTTTTGAACCCATCATCATTACAGGTTTGTCTCATCTGCCAAATACTCCTAAAGTGCTGCTAAAAGGAGTTGCCTCCACAACCTACCTTATATGCCCTTCTCTGATAATGAGATTGATAATTAACTTATATGCCATCATAGAGCTCTCATCTAGTAGCTGATGGAAACAGAAGCAGACACCTACATCTAAACACTGATATGAACTCCTGGAACCCACTTGCAGAGAGGGAGGAGTGGTAAGAAAAGGGGTCAAGACCAGTCTACAGAAACTCACAGAGACAGCTGACCTGAACAAGGGGGAGCTCATGGATCCTCAGACTGATAGCTGGGAAACCAGAATTATACCGATTCAGACCCCCTGAACATGGGTCTCAGTTAGAAGGCCTAGGCAGTCTATGGGGGCTCTGACAGTGGAACCAGGATGTATCCCTGGTGCATGAAAGGACTTTGGGAGCACATTCCCCATGGGTGGACACTCAGCCTAGAGGCAAGAGGGAGGGCCTAGACCCTACTCCAAATGACTTGACAGCTTTTGTTGATCCCTCCTGGAAGGCATTACCCTCCCTGTGGAGTATGTGTGTGTGTGTGTGGGGGGGGAATGGGATAGGAGGGAGGTCAGGGGGCATGGAAGGGAGGGAGGGGGAGGAAAGTGGGATTGATATGTAAAATAAAAAAAAAAAGGAGTTGCCTCAAGCCACAAGATTCACTAAGCAATTTTTTGAGGCACCCCAGGGCTAGGGATGAGACCAAAGAGCTCATGCAGGCTGAGCAAGCACTCTACCACTGACCTGCCTCCATAGCCCATGAGCTTGCCTCTATCTGGTTCCTCTTTGTTTGGACCTTTCACATTTCTGAAATAGTTCTTTGGTCCTTGCTCTTTGTTCTCTTACACAAAAGCAGAAGTGATGGTGAGACCATAGAAAGAGATGGAGGAGGTTCAGAGAACACAGAAAAAGAAGACAAATCCTTTTATTCCTCATTTCAAGACCAGGTCCAAGGCCAACTGTGGGAAGTCAGGGCTTCAGGGGAATACAAACCTATTTCCTTCTCCCTCTCAACATCACTGTGTACAGTCACATAGTCTGAAGTACAGTCTCCATTTTCTTGTATTTCTAGGCTCTGAAATGACAGCTGAGAAGACTCTTGGTTATATCTAGAGAAGCTCAAGGAGTGAGCAGATACTTCTAGGTCACTCACCTTGCTCTAGAAGAGTGATTTTCAAACTATGGGTCATGACTCCTTTTGGGGTTAAATGGCCCTTTCACAGGGGTTGCCTCAGACCAATGGAAAACACAGATATTACACTGTGACTCATAACAGTATCAAAATTACACCTATGAAGTAGCAGCACAAATAATTGTGGGACTGGGGGGGGTCATCACAACACGAGGAACTATATTAAAGGGCAAAACATTAAGAAAATTGAGAACCACTGCTCTAGAGTAAGAACTTAGTTGAGAAAGTTCACAAGTGGCTAAGTTACTTAGGAAAATACAAGAGACTCTTTAAAAAAGGAAACAAACAAACAAATAAAAAGATTGAAACATAGAAGCTACCAAACACAGCCTGCCTGTAAGGGTGGGGATCTGTGCAAATGTCTAAGCTCCTTAGCAGCTGTAGGGGATGGAAGGACCATCCTACAGAGACTTTCTTTTCTGGAGGCCATTTTGGACTGTGCTACTTGGCTGCATAAGTGCTTGTCTGGACACAAATTGCTTTTCTAGAGATCTTACACCGTAAATCCTGTTCTTGGTATTTAATTGTGAATTTCCAGTTCACTAGACTCAAAAATTAAGGGAGTTGTATCTCTCACAAGGTAGGTAAATCTTTCTACATGAGAAGATGTGTCTGTCTCCTCATCACATTTGCTGTCTGCTGCTACAATGTGTTCCAGTCCTCACTGACAGTTACAAATGTATGTAAGAGCAGCTCTCAAACTGTGTTGCCTGGAAGCTACAGGGAGCACCTGTTCAGAGCAGTGAACTTGGAGAATTCACAGCTCTAAGCAGAAATCTTAGTGAAGGGTAGAGATAGTTGCTGTAGCATAAGTTCTAATAGGTCTTAATAATAAAAATTCAGTCAGCCATCAGGGGGTGAAAGTTGAAAGATCAGAGATGCAAAGCACCCAGCTGATAGAGTATTCTTACCTCTACCAATGCTCAGACCAAAGGGGCAATCTAGTCCGCAGACTGCACTGTTCCTCAGACTGCTTCAGATGGACTGCTTCAGACTAACTGCTACTCAGTCTACTCTGTGAATTCCTGTCTCCTCCCATCTTATATTGCTGTCCCCCCCCCCCAGCCATATCATTCCTGTCTTCACCTCCTTAGTGCTGGGATTAAAGGCGTGCCACTCCAAGTGCTGGGATCACCTTTGTGTTTCTCTTTTAGACTGGATCAATTTTGTGTAGTTCAGAGTGGCCTTGAACTCATAGAGATCCATCTGCCTCTGTCTCCCGAGTGCTGGGATTACAGGTGTGTGCCATCACTGTCTGGCCTCTATGGCTAGCTAGTGTGGCTAGCTTTGGACTCTGATAATCAGGCAAGCCTTATTTGTTAGATCATAAACAAAATATCATCACAAGTTGCTTTTGAGTGCTGAGCAGAAATATAAACCCAGATGTTTATTAATAACAAATCATGACAGTTCTAGTCCTACAGTTTCTGTGATCCTGATGTTAAATGGAACTCTCTCCTTATCACACTCTCTCCTTGTGTGTGATACTTCCGTGCTATCTCAAAAATGTGTAAGAAGCTGTCTTTATGTAACTACCTTCCTTCTTATGGGACACTTGTTTTGTATTAGACAAAAAAAGAGGAGTTACACAGACAAGGGGAGGACTTGAAGAGGGAGCAAGAAACTCTGGGTTGTGATTTCACATGGAAGGGATGAAGAAATTGCAAACAATTTGGCATCAGTAAATTTTTCTTAAGGAGCAATGACCAAAATTTAACTCAAACACAGCATGAATCCATAGTGTTTTGGCTGCTCTTGCCTGTGTGACTCTACTACAGCCTTAGTCTGGACATATAACATGTATACACATAACATGTATACTAAGCATGCAGTTGAACAATGAAGTGCCTGCGAACGTTTCTTGAAACACCATGTTTTAGATACAAGCCCAGTGTTATGAACTGAGGAATTTTTGCTGCACATACAAAGTTTCCTACTCTTATAGAAACATAAAATCTTAGAACAGCTTTATTATAGAAAACAAAAATTCAAATATTTCTCTATAATCATTCCTCAGTATGAATCAAATAACCAGATCTTTGGATCAGATTGTGTTAGAATATTTGATCTTAAGAACTTCTGTTTGAATTGCTGATGTGAAATTTTTAAAAGATATCTGTCTTGGGATTAAGACAAAATTTCCAGCAATTTCTGGAAGGGACCTAAACATACTTTTGTCATTTTCTATTTTTGCAAAGCTAAGTCTCAGCACTGATGAATATAAAGTAAAAACACTGGGCCAGTTCTGGAAATCATTGCAGATGAGCTCTTGGTCCTGCAATCTCCATCCTCTCTCATTCTTAAAGCCAGTGTGATCTCATAAGGCTTCTAACCTCTGATTGCATTTGATGTTTCAGATTCTGTGAATCCCAGCTTCTCTCAAATGTTCAATGGTTCAGTCCCATTATTCTGCACTGTTTTTAAGAGGTGGGGTGGGGACTGGATAATTAATTCTTAATTCTAATTCTCTCTAAATTCTAACTTTGGTGAGAAACCCAATCTGTTGACCATATCTGTTTGTTTGTTTGGTTTGCTTTGTGTTTTAAAGGCTCAATTTTCCCCCTCATCTGTCATAAAGACTCGTCAGTTGGGTTTTTCTACCTGTATCTCAGACCCCCTTTTCTCCTCAAATACAGTTAGAAGCCAATAACAATGCTGTGGTTAACTTGGACCTATACATAAGATGGCAATATCCTTGATTGTATTGCCTAGTGATGTACTTGTCTTAGTTTAGGCAAATATTCTTTATTATCATGGTTTGGATATGAAATCTCCCCAATAGGCTCACATATTTGAATAGTTGTTCTTCAGGTGATGGTGATGTATTGAAAGGTTGTGAAACTTTGAGGGGGTAGAGCCTCACTGGAGGAAGTGTGTCATTGATAGGCAGGCCTTAAGGGGTTGTTGATAGGCAGGCCTTAAGGGGTTGTGGCCACTTTCTGTCTACTTTCTGCTTCCTGAGTGCTGACATAATATGACCATCATAATATGCTACTGCCAACATGCCTACCCTGCCTTCTTCTTAAAGCCCAATATACTCTTCCTCTTGTCTGTTCTGTCCTGTCAGGGGTTTAGTCACAGCAATAAGAAAAATAACTAATACAGATGTTTGCATCAGTAAAATGAACTATGAAAGAGTCTGGGGGTTAGGGTGTCTCTTATTCTCTCCCCTTTCTCTTCCTTTCGTTTCTTTCCTCCATATGCTTCTGTTCATTTGTTATTTTAAGAGAAAGACTTACACATAAATGCCTGTCTTCATCCTAATCCTGACTGTTGACCTACCTTCACCTACCTAGTGACTTATCTCCACAGAGGGTCCATTAGTGTTAATTGGCAACAACAACTGGACTCCACACTACTGATGTGCAATAAACTTCTTAGCGAGATATCCAAAGGCCTATATTTTGGCTTCAGTCTTGCTTTCCTTTATTATTTCTAAGTATACTTTAAGACTATTGAATCTCACACTTCCTGTCCCTTGAGTGTGCTTGCTTCTATTTGCTGTATCTTCTCTGGTTGGAGCTCTTAATGACACTGGTATGGTTGTTATCAACTTTTTAATTAGTCATAATGTTTTTTTCTAATTTGAGTTTATAAGGAAGAATGTTTCTAAGAGGAGCAAAAAACCTGTGAAAGTCATCAGTTTTAAAGATTAAGGAAACACTGGGGAATTTTGTTTTGAACCAGAGCTAAAGAGTAAATGTGTTTTGTAGTGGTGGTTGCAGGGGAAGCAAGGCTGGTTCTTTTATTCAAAGTGTATAATGTGCCAGGTACTTAAGACTAATGTTGGCTATAAACAAATCAGATAAAAACCTCTGCCTACATAAGGCCTGTCAGGTATCTCACAACTATATCATGTTTAATTTTGGACAAACATAATACCTTAATTAGGCAATGGTTGGGGGCTTGAAAAATCCATGTACAGCTAGCCATATCACTGTAGTCTTCAGGATAATGAAGACTATGTATGGTACCTTCTTCAAAGAGGATAGTTAGAGACTTGCAGCCAGAATCTGAAACAAAGGAGGGCAGAACAAATGCAATCACCAAAGAAAGACTTGTGTTCTACCTCCTGTCTCAACAATTGACAAACTACATCTTTTGACAATGCCAACGTGAAGGGAAAGTCTTGTGCACTAGCTCACACAACTCTTAAGACCCTCTCAGCTCATTTGGGTCAGTGATCACCATGAACTTTCAGGACCGGAGGAAGCTAGACTGCTTCCTCCAGCTAGCCAAGATGTTTTCTCCACTGTGGAGCCAGCAGACCTCAGGTAGGGACTCCCTGCTCCTCGCCTAACTACTCTGATGCCAAAACTTCTGCAATGGAAGTAAATGGTTTTTACCAGGAATGTAGCTTGGCTTGAGAGCTTTATAGGTGAGATTAAACCCAGTGGCATAATCTGTGGCATCAGAGATGAATCTCAGCTTGATAGAACTGGAGCCAACAAGAATGGATGAAGGGAGACTTTCTCCACAGAATTTCCCTGCATTGGGAGAAGAATCTTTGTTCAGAGTCTGGAAAACAGCACCACACAAATGCTTCAAGGAGATGATGTTGTCCTCGAAGTTCAGAATTGTCTAAATAGGCCTCTCACCTTCTGTACAACTGGGGTTTTGATACAGAATGTTCTGTGTTCATGCTGCTCTTTGGCTTTGCAGGATGTTTTTAAATGTCTAATCCTTTATAATAGTCTCTCCTACATTCTGCATTATTGCCTGTATTCTCTTCAGTTGCAACAGTCAAGAGTACTCCACAATAATGCCAAGTATCTCCAAGTGGGTTGGGCAAAGTTACTTCAGAGTGAGAATCACAGAGACATTACTCCGTTTCTGTAATTTGATTGTTTGTTTGAGACAGGATATCACTATTTACACCAGGCTGGTCATGAACTTGCAATTCTCTTTCCTCAGTTTCCCAAATTCTGGGGTTACATATATGTGCTACTATGCCACTATTCATTTCTGTTTCTGACATAAATAAGCTTTGCCTCTCCATGGCTATCTCTTGGCATTATTCTTCCTTGTCTATCAAGACAGGTAAAGCCACTTGCATACATAGTTAAGCAGTGTTCTGCTTGGGAGACCCAGCAATAATGTAAATTTTACTCCTAATTGGGTCAAAATGCAGGCAGCCTGGCTTTATAAGTATCAGATGCAGCTGCTGCCAAGTCTGCAGGCTCAGACTTGGTTCTTCCCCATTTTAGAACAGCCTCTCAAAATTGGAAAAGGAAAATGTGGCATTTATAGATGGCTCGAGGGCAGATATGTTGTAACCAGATCTTGTTAAGTATACTTAGCACAGATTTCCATTTGACAATGTGAAGGACCACTCACCAATGAGTCTGTCTTCTAAGGAATACATTGCCAGGTAATTGTGGTAACAAGATTCTGCATCCAAGTGGGACAGATTAAGCAATATATGCATGTCCACTGGAACCAGCAGGGTCCAGACACACAGTCTGCAGGCAGATACATGGAAAGGGTATTACTTTCTAGACAGAATGTGACAGTCGTGTAATGGGCACAGGCATGCTGGAGGTGAAGTCTGGGGGAGGACAACACAGGGAGTACTCACTGCTTGTTCTCATAGTATAGGTGGAGGCTTTCTGGGAAGTGTAGCTCTCCCTCAGTCCCATGTATTAGACCATCAGGCTCACTGCATGAAGCTGGGAGGGAAAGCCACAGCATCAGGGCTGGTAGTCAATGCTAGACACCATTACAACCTTCCAGAAGCTGAGCACTGGGGAGCATTAGTTCTTTTTGGACACGTTCATTCATTCTTCCTGCACTATTTTCCTCTCTTGGTTCCTATGATGTTATGATGTCTCATTGTTTTGAAATTTTGTTCTTTTTATGCCCTGCTTACCTTGGAGATGCTGTGACTTCTTTTCCTCTTTCACTCTGACCCCATCGCTTCATTCTATGGGTGCAGACACTCCCTGATTCTTTCCTAGTCTCTTCCTTTTCTTTTTCTACCAGGGACCCCAGCATAGGCTTAGTCACAGCAGCAGTTTCAGCTCTTACCTCTACTTTTCTGGACTTTAGGTCCAGTTATCTCCCCTGAAACTCAACATGATACAAGTGGAATTCTTCATCAGCACAATTACAGCTACTTCTTATTTGATTATGTACGGGCTTTCAGTCTCAAATGTTCAAAGCTGTGATGATAGAATGAGTCAAGTTGGATCCCCCCTCCTCTTTACTTACAGTACTCACTAAACTGGTATTAAGTTTTGTTCCTTTCTATTTCCTTCTTTTCATTCTCTGGCCCTTATCCTGTTTTAATCCTTCTTTTTGTTTTATCTATTATGATTTCCCCTTGACTTATTCTTCCTTTAATACCTTTCATGGTGTTCTTATATTCTTAAAGAATAGCTATATTTATCTAAATAATACATTTCCCATTGCTTTTGGACTGGTGTGTAGTTTGCAGAATTTGATCTTAATTTATCTTTCTATTTCTTTATCCTTTTAGAAGTCATTACATAGTCTATCCTTGAGCTTCTTTCGCTGATTTGCTGTTGCACCCCATATTTTTTCTTCTTCATCCTTTGGGGTCTATGCTGGATAAGGATGTCTCTGTTCCAAAGCCTACAACACTGGTCATTTATGTCTCTAAGTAGGCTAGCTCTGGGAAATCTACTTTGCCATATTGATTTTTGAGAAAGAATCTTACAGACTCAAAGACACAGTGAACAGTGAAGCTAAGAGCCAATCTCCTTTCTTGATGGATGATGTAACTGAGGGAAGAGTGCTGTAGGATAATTCTTCTGCACACCATGGATATGTTTTACTCTCATTGGTTAGTAAAAAAGCCAATTTGGCCTATAGCAAGAAAAAACAAGGCTAGGTGGGAAAGACAAACTAAAAATACAGAGAGGAAGAAGGGCAGAGTCAAGGAGAGATGTGAGCCAGCCACTGGGATTCAAGATGCTAGAAGACAGGTAAAGCCAAGAACCATATGACAAAATATAGATTGATAGAAATGGATTATTTTAAGTTGTAAGAGCTAGTTAGTAATAAACCTCAGCTACAGGCTGAGCATTTTGTAATTAATATAAACTTCTGTGTGTTTATTTGAGAATGGGTGATCAGGACAAAAGAAAAACACAACCAACCTCTGTTCACAAAAGAGTTTGCCCCAGACCTCAGAGTGAATACATCGAGGAGTCACAGTGAGCAGGGATAGCCCCCTGTGTGTAGTAGGGACACTTTTGGGGGAGGACTATAGCTTGTTAATGGTTTCTGCACCCCTCCCCTCTTCTCCTGCAATGTAATTGAAAGTTAGTATTTGTCAGTTAGTGTTTGATGAATTAGACAAAGCTATGGCATGACGTGACAAGAAGGTGCATGGAAGGGAGCAGGGCTCTGTGGACATGGAATTGGCAGACTGGCAGGGATAGCTGTGGGTACTCTTCAGAATTTTATAACAAGTGGTCAGAGAAACACTACCAGAGGAAGTGTTTTTGATGACAACAGGAAGTGACACTCAGAAATGTTAGGATGTTAATTCAAACTCCTGCAAGTGCAGGCTGCAAGGAGTACCCACCTCTGGAGCTCTTTCTCCGATGGCCTGAGAAACAAAAAGAAAGATGTGATTCAAAGCTTGTGGTACCTCGACTCATTTTAAACCAATATGCAAATACTTAAAATTTAATCTGTGAAAATAACAGCAGGGTGGATAAAATGACAAAGTAGGACAGCAGTCCTAGCATTTTGAAACGATTTCACTCACTTTATTCTTACTAATGAAGAAACAGTTGCACTGAGGGAGGGAAAAAAAAAAAGGCAAGGAAACATGAGAATAGAAATAACCTTCCTCCAACCATGAATATTTTGAATAGTCACACACTGAGGCTCAGATACTTGCCATTGGGCAATACTCTTGAAAAAAATTCCCCAATTCTGAGTTAACTTTCATTAATCCCTTTGGGAAAGCCAATTTGAGGCTGGAAGACACCAGTTAAGGGAACAGTTTGGAGTTTGGAGGTAGAAACAAAGCTAGCTGGTCAACAGAAGAGTGTATGTAGACTCCACCCTTCAGATTTACCACATTTGCTTCTATACCAGGGTTTCTAAATCTTTGTCTTATTAATCTAAAGTGAGATTATTAATTATGGTGGGGACTATCTGCTGTACTGTATGTGGCATAGCAGCTCTCATGATCTCTACCCTCTAGGCACTGGTATCCCTTACTTAATTGTGACATCGGAAATATTTATTAATATCATTCTCAGATCATTAGTAGTTGATCATTACTGAGCTATGCTTCTGCTTGCTGAGTCTTGCTAGAATAGTTGAAAAGTAGGTGATCAGTTAACATAGTTTTAAAGATAGGCGAAGTGATTTATGAGGAATGTACTCATTCTTCAGTGAATATTTTAATACTTGAATATAGATGATGCTGTGCTCTTGCTTTAGATTGTACATTTCAAAATTCCCAAGGGTTACACTGAGAATAGAAGTGCCCTCCCATAGTCCTGACTTGTCTAGCATGAGTAGAAAGTGGCTCTCCTACAGCCCTGACTTGTCTAGTTTGCTGATGCTCTTTACCCTGTAGAACTGTAGCTTCCTAAGCTTTCAGGATGACTTCATTACCAGTCTGGATGTGTTCATGGATCCAGGGAAGCACTCTGCTAAGATCTGTGAAGATCCCAGGAGATCCTTGCTCTTTTTTCCTCGAATTGTTTCTCCAGCCTCGACCACAGCCCAAACCCCAAGAAGTTACACCAGCCAGAGTCCAGGCCCCTTTCCTATTCTGGCACATGAGTGAGCCTCCTGAGTCTCCCTGAGGAAGGAAGAAGAAAGCCTCTATGACCGTGATTGCTGGTGGAGGTGCCTGCTCACCCTTCCCCCATGAGTGTGCTAATGACAAGTATAACATGTCCTTTAAAAATTTAGACAAAGGACCCTGTAACCAAAGAGTTTGTCAGTTGCTGCTCCTTCTCCCCACCTTTGGTTCTCAGTAAAGCAGAAGAATTCCTTCCCTTTCTTATTCATATCATAGAATCAGAGACACTTTGCCTAGTGATACAACTGATGACACTTTCCATAAATGTCAAGAATTGAAAAATGACATCCCCAACGCCCCAATCCAGAAACCTCAAAATAAGAAGAGGCACCCTGAAGGGATGACAGAACCCTGAGCCCCTTGTCCTTGGCACCACCTTTATTATTTTTGGTGGAAAGCAGATTCTAGGTTTATCTGAAATCAGCATTCTTAGGCTCCTCCCTGCTAACAAGCTGCTCACGCTTACCTGACAAGCATCTCTTCCTCCATCAGGGGATCCTGTGCAGAGAAAGGTCTTCCCAGTAACAGGGTTCCTTAAAGTCAACAGAGCTGCTTCGCATTCCTCCTGAGTCAAAATTGGCAGGTTCACCTGCTGCAGGACTTGTGGGAGGCTGCCACCTGGGACAAAGGGATGGGCCCATCAAGGTAAACCAGTCACTGTCCTGAGTTGAAGATGTATAATCCTTCTGTCATCAACAGCTGGATGCAGATGTTTTGACTTTTTTGGAAGGATGCCAATTTCTTAAGCACACTGAAATTCTCTGCATTTGAAATGCTTGTCTTGTAAAATATTTCTGATTTCTGGTTATCCACCAGAAAGTTTTGAATTTGGATTAAGAGGAGTGGCTCAGGGGCCCTTACCTTCAGTCAAGCGACCCCAGCCTGCAGTTGTGCAAACAAATCCAGGCTTAAAATGTTCCCCTGGTTCTGGAAGACACACAGGCCTCACAAATTGGCCTGAAGAAAAGATCAAGGCAGGACTTGGATCATTCATACAGGAGCGGGTATCAAAGTTATTCACCTATTGGCATCTAGGTGGTCTCCAAAGCACCCTTAAGGTTTGCCTGGCATTTTCAGGGGTCACATGTCAGCTTTCTTCTCCAAACACCACCTAACCCTACCCCCACAACCATAAGCAAAGGGCATTTTAGGTAGGGGACCCTCCAGAAATATCTGTCTTTCAGTTTATGATCCAGAAGAGCTGGTTTCAGACTGTATAACATTATCTGTAGGGGATACAGTATAGCTTAAAGACTATGTGGAAACAGGGTAGATGATCAGGGCACACTACAAACATTTACCAAATTGGAAGGTTCCAACCATCTTCAGAAGAGCGATATCATAGTTCATAGGTTTTCTGGTAGAGAACTGGGGGTGTATAATGATGGTTTCAATGGCTAGTGTTTGCTCTTCTGGCTCAGCTTGGCTCAAGTCATGTTCTCCAGCAGTAACATTCAAAGTTAATGCAATGTTTCTATGAAAAGAGAGAAGGGAAGAGATGGGGGTTTTAATGAGCCTCTGCATGTGCTTGTAAATGCAGGCAAATTGGCTTCTTTAAATTGACCTTGATGGATAATGTGGAGTATGAGAGTGTCGAGCAAAGCATCTGAGAATGATTGATTCCATTGCTATAAGAAAAATGAAATACAGAGATTCTCAGTTCCAATGGAGGGCTTGTAAAGTATAGACATAGCAGCATGATATCATTAGTATTGTCAGTATTATTTATAATCAGCCAGAGAGATAAACATGCATTGTAATTTGGGGAGCTAAAATATATATGATGCTTTATTCAACTATCTTATTAGGGCAATGGTTCTCAGTCTGTGGGTCACAACCCTTTTGGGGGTCAAATGGCCCTTTCACAGCAGTGTTATGAGCGTGTTTTCCTGCCGGCCCACTGCGCCAGCCCCAAATAACACACAGAGACACTGAATTAGATATAAAGCTGTTAGCCTGTTACTAGCATTTCTTTTTGGCTAGCTTTGTCTTAAATATTAACCAATTTCTGTCAATCTAAGCATTTCCATGTGGTTTTATCTTACCAGAGGAGAGAGGATCGGGACCTCTGTTCTGTTGGTCCTACATATTGAATCTCCTCCCTACTTCTCCCTGGATCCTCCTTGTCTCCTAGTCCCACCTATCTTGCTTTCCTATTGGCCAACAGTGGTTTATTCATAATCCGATAAGAGAAACATATTTACAGAATGACATATCCCATCATCTCTTCTTTTTTGTCTAAAATAAAAAGGGTTTTAACTTTAATATAGTAAAATATATAACAAAATAGTTATCAAGTAAGAACCACAGTTAACAATTTTAGTCTATTAACATTTAGCAAGATTTAAAGAAAAATATTTTATCATCTATCCTATCTTTGTGAGTCTAAAGTTGTATATGTAACTTATCTTTAATGCTAACTAAGGAAAACTATAACCATAACTATCTGTCTTCAACTCCATCAAAGACCACAGAAGGATGATATATAAACTCTAGAAATGACAGAGACAGCTGGCCTGGTCAGTCACCTGAAGTTCTTCTGTAATGTTCCATCTTCAGCCCATAGGCCATAGTGTGTCTGGCAGATTCCTCAGCAAAACAGGAAACTTTAAACTGTTCACCTGTATTGGCAATTTGTCAGTCATTTTTCTCAGTCTCCTGCAGAATGTCTGGCAGACACTTCCATGAAGCAGGAACCCTGTAGCAATGTCCATCTTGTATCAGCAGTCACTTTCCTGTGGGTCCTGTATGTCCAGTTTAAACAGTTCAGACAAGAGCAGTATCTTGCTCAAATGGCTAGTCTTGCAATATTGGAAGTAAACTCCATAACAAGTTTCTTCGATGTCCATCTTCCTTTCTGATACAGGTGGTGTTGCTAGGAGCAGTTGTGCCTCACTGTTAATAAAAACTCTAAAGCATTTTAAATGCCATATTCTGTAGGTCTTTTAAAGGTTTGAAGAATGCCTATCCGTCTCAAATACATCTCTGTATATCTTTAAAACCTAACTAACTTCAAGTTTTGTCTATCATAGGTAGCTATCTATAATCTATACTAAAGTATACATTACATTTCTAAATGAGCTATATAAACACAATGCCTAAACAAGAGGAGAAATATACATATTACAAATTGACCTTAAATTTGTATCAATAAATGAAAATCCATTCCAAAATAAAGTATTCATATCTATACCATAATCTACTTTTTACCTTTAAAAAGAGATTGGTTGTGATTATTAACTATTTATAACCAATCCCATTTAAATGAAAACAAACATTTATAAACAATATTTGGGAATTTGGGTGTTCTTACACTTAAATTTTGGAGTCAAAGCATTTTAAAAATATATAAATTGGATTAATCTAGCAGCATTTCCTTTAACAGTTGTTATTACCTCAGCAGTCAAACAATAGAAAGACAACAGAATAGCATATAGTATCCAAAGTTTCTCTGTGCTTTCCATCTTTATGAGGCTTTTTTATTACCCTATTTCTTCTACTTTTATTTTTTATTTATTGAGACAGGGTTTTCTTTGTAACTTTTGCCTGTCCTGGAATTAACTCTGTATGCCAGGTTCATTCTGAAATCACAGATATCTGCTCGCTTCTGTATCCCAAGTGCTGAATTAAAGGCATGTGCCATCACATCCAGCTACTCTTTCCAGTTGCTCATACACACCATTGAATTGTTAGCAGTGCTTCTTAAAAGCAGTGCAGTTTTTTGGCACTATGCTGAGTCAGGAAACTTCCCTTAAAGGAGTCATGCAAATCTCTGCTTGCCTCTAGCAAAACAGCCCAACCAAGAAAAATGCTGCTACCAAGAAGCCTTGCTTGTTTTTGTTCTTTTGTTTCTAAAACCTCTTTTTAAGCTTTTTGTCAAGTTTTAAGTGAAAGTTCTTGGGTCCATGTTGCAGCATCATTTTGTTACAAGTAGTTTTTCCACCCACCAGTCTAGTCCCACAGACGCGCCAGCCCCAAATAACACACAGAGACTCTATATTAGACATAAAGGTGTTAGCCTGTTACTAGAATTTCTTATTGGCTAGCTTTGTCTTAAATATTAACCAATGTCTATCAATCTATTTCCATGTGGTCTTATCTTACCACAGAGAGGATCGGGACCTCTGTTCTGTTGGTCCTACATTTTGAATCTCCTCCCTACTTCTTCCTGAATCCTCCTTGTCTCCTAGTCCCACCTATCTTGCTTTCCTATTGGCTAACAGTGCTTTATTCATTATCCAATAAAAGAAATTACAGAATGACATCTCCCATTATAGCAGTCATCTAAGATTATCAGAAAACATATATATTCACATTATGGTTCATAACTAGCAAAATTACAGTTATGAAGTAGCAACAAAGATAGTTTTATGGTTGGGGGACATCACAACATGAATAACTGTATTAAAAAGGGACACAGTTTTAGGAGGGCTGAGAACCACTGTATTAGGCTGTCCCAGTCATAATACCAGTGAGTTATTTTGTAAATTATTTGTGATTCCAAGTAAGGTTGTTGTTTCAGTGTTTAAAATGTCACGTGGCATTTGTATTATAAAGGGCAGCACCTTAACTCATATATACTCAAGGATTTGGAACCAATTACAACAATGGAAAGTGGGGGTTGTCTCTTTACCTTCTTTGTATTTGCAATGTATAATTCTCCCATTAAATGAGAAAGGTGCCATTTCCTCAGATCAGTGTTATCTAGAAGGAACTTGACAGGATGAGGTGGGAAAAAGTAAGCATTTTGAGCTTTTAATTCTTTGGTACCCTTCATTTCCAATGGTGATACTTTGTACACTATTAGAAAGGGTATCTTTTTCTTGGAATGTTTTTCTGAATCTTGGATATATCAGCTACTTAATCTAGTACATAATATCTCTTTGGCTTACTACTACCTATATTGTAGGGATATTTTCAGCATTCATTTGTTTGCTTATACATTTTTATTTTTACTCAACACACAGGGACTTTCTAATTGCTCAGACTGGTGCTAATTTCCTGGATTCAAGCAATCTTCCTTCTTTAGCTGTTCAAGTGGCTGTGTCTACAGATGAGTACCATATTCCAGGCTAATTTATCTTTTTAATCAATGAACTCTTGGGGAGACATCATGACTTAGTCATTTTTGTGTCTTTGGTACTCACTAGCAACTGGCAGTAAGTGAAGATCCTAAGAATGTTTTCAAACTTAAATTAAAAGCACAACTATGGGAACATGATCTTGGTTACAGCCTGGGGTATGCATACAACACTGATAGTGAAGTATTTGGATTGTATTAGAAAGCTGATAAAACAATGAAAGTTCTTAGGTTGAAGCTCAGAGAAGCAAGACCAAAAGGAAGACTTGAGAATCTTTATTTTACTTGTCTGTCTTTGTTTCCTTTTATGTACTTCTTAAAATGTATAGTGAACCAGGTATTGCTTTTTCACTGAAATATTTTATCAAGACTAGCTGGAAACTCTCACTAGTCAGTCTTTTGATATTACTCTTTGTGGACTTCAGTGGGTTTGTGTAAATACAGTATTTTACTTCTGCAAGGAGTCCTTTTCTAACAAGAGTATCAGCTTACAATGTTACAAGGCTTCATTTATGACACCCAATTAGGAATATTCCTTGAGTTTTACAAGAATAATTGATTCTGATTCCAAGGGGGAAGAAGTGATAATCTGGTCCTCTTCCTTGAGCCAAGCTTTCCTACCTGTTAGCCATGCAGTGAGCAGCAGTGATGACCCACTGTGAAGACACGATAGTTCCTCCACAGACATGCCTCTGCTTTTGTTTCAGAGACACCTAGATGACAGATTTAAATTGGTGAAAGTTAATATTGTGGGGAATACCACAAAACATACAACTGACCATATTCTGAAAGACAATTACAAGTAGCTTAACCACCGTGATCATGATTCAGGGACTATGACAGCATTTATGACAGTAGTTTGGACTACTGTTTTCTCGTATGTTTAATGATGACCCCTAGAACTTCAGGTCTGTTGTTTAGTTTGCCTCTTAACATAATTAACATGATTTTATTCATTTTTTACACTAGTGTGTGTGTCTGTGTGCATGCCTGTGAGTTTGTGTGTATGTGTGCATGCATGTGTATATGTGTGCATATATACATGCATGATATGCATGTGGATATCAAAAGGCAAACCTTGGGCATCAGCACTCTCCTTCTATAGTGTTGGTCCCTTGGATCAAACTCATGTTGTCAGACTTAGTATAAAGCACATTTACTCATTGAAATGTCTTTATGGCTCCCACTAATGTACTTTCTGTCTTTAACTCAATCTATCCATGATATTTGATTTGATTTTAAGATAACTTATAATATGCAAGTAAATATTTTCAATGGATAGCTTTATAATTTTGGGATGAGACAAAGGCAGTTGATTAGAATTTTTAACTGAAAGTTATTTTTGAACAATAGAAAAGAAAAAAAAATAAAAGAAACACCAAGAGACACAGAAAAAGCTACTAAGGTTGTGTAGATCAGTGGTACAGTATATGCTTAGAGCTTTTAAGACTCTAGTTTAGATGCTTTGAACCAAAACAAACAAACAATGAACAATCAAAAAGGAGGAATACTGAGAGGATAAGGATAGAAAACACAGAACAACAACAACAAACATGAAAGAAAAACCAATTGGTCATGATTATGATTTGAATATGAACTTCTGAATTTGACAGATGACCAATTGATCAAGTGACCAATAGTCTATTCAAACACATATTTGTTAAGTTTAACATTGACAGTCTGTGTGGTAGTTTGATTGTAAGTGACCCCTATAAGCTCATAGGAAGTGTGGTCTTATTGAAGTCGGTGTACCTTTGTTGGAGGAAAGTTATCACCATGGAAGCAGACTTTGAGGTTACTTATGCTCAAGCTATGGCTAGTTCAATTCACTTTCTGTTTCTTGTGGATCAAGATGTAGCTCCTTACTCAGCATCATGTCATCCTCATGCTTCCATGTCTGACCATGATAATAATGTACAAAACATATGAAACCATAAGCCATCCAATCAAATGTTTTCTCTTATAAGAATATTCATGGTTATGGTGTCTCTTCACAGCAATAAAAACCCTAAGACAGTCAGGCAACCCACCAAACAAAGTTCAACCATGAACATTAATCTTGATTAATTGGGCTGGGAAGTGTCTTCTTTCAAGATTAGGAAACCACAGCTCTGGGGTGTTATGAGCATTTTTTTTTCTCCAGAGAGGGTGACCTAAGGGAGGTAGCATGTGATCTGCAGAGATACAAGCTTGAGACATCATAGTTCACCCACAAGAGAAGGGTTTGAGAGACTTACCTGCCAAGGATAGGAACCCTTTGTCACTTGGCTTCCCCCAACAATGCGACTGAAATGGCTAAAGTAATTATGAGGCTGTGGCTTAAACAGACTCTGTCCACAGTTAGGAGCTGGGGAAAGACAAGACAGACACTGAGTGATTAATATCTAGACTAAGATGTATAGAAAAATCTTCCGAGCAAGGACAAAATGTAGCATATGGAGCATGTAGAAAAATTACAACCCAGCTTTAAGTGAATGATTGGGATTATTTGTATTTTGCAGGACAAGAGATTACATATGTTTTTCATGAATAAGATGTGTATCACCAGGAGACAATTTCCATTTTATGTATGTGGGTTATGTTCATTTGTGTGTGGATGCTGAGAGCTGCTAGTAGCAATGGTTTTACCAGAGGCCACTGAGAATATACAGCAGACTGCAACTGATACTCATAAGGTCATCCCACCAGAAGAACAACTATGTGATGGAGATAATCTCATGAAGCAAGGCTGATGGTACCATTGCCTGTGAATAACTTTTTCTTTGTCTATATTTTTCCCATGTGCCACTATATTTCTTCCTTAAAAACAGCTATGGGTATTTCCCCCAATGCCTGTGTGTTTATCACACACACACACACACACACACACACACACACACACACAATCTACTGGACATACATATATCTGTAGATGGGCAGGAAGATGATTTCTGCCTAAATGTTAAATTTTGATGAACAGAAATAAATACTAGGTATTTTTCATTACTCAGACTGACATATGAGAAAATTTTCAGCTACAGATATAGCCATTTACACATTTATCTGATTTTAGACTTTAGAGCAAATTCAAAATAGACTGGTTGCCCCTGGAGATGAATACACAAGGACAAGTTCCCAGGTGTTTATTGCTGAATCAGGGTCAGACATGAAGCAACTTTGGTAGACATAACCTCCTGTAGCAATTGACTTTCTGCACATGCTCCTAACCACTCAAGGTTCAGCCCTCTGTTTATTGTTTGAGTCCTGAATTTCAACATCATTCTCTGTCTGGGAATGCTAATCACTCAGAGCTATTTACTCACCATGCCCAGTCAGCATGACCTCCTCTAGATAGAGAGAAACTGTGTGACCAGTGTGGCTCTGTTCCTTATTGTTTACTCAAGAAGTGCCATGTGGCCCTGAAAATGTGATTCATATTTGTACAGAGGCTTTGCTGCAATAGGAGAAGTGTGATGGAGAGGGAAGTGTGAGCAATGGAAAGAGAAGGGTGAGAGATGTAGAAGGAGGTGAGTGAATCAGTGAATGAGTGAGAGAATGTGTGTGAATATGAGAGTAGTGTGTGTGTGTGAGTGTGTGAGTGAGTGAATGGTACCGATGTATCAGTTATGTGAAGAAATGTAACAGAATAGAGAGAAGTGTGTACAGAAGATAGGTGTGGAGAAAAGAGATGTAGCTGTATGTAAAGAGATGTAACTGTGTAGAAAGATTGTCAAGACAGAGATATTATTCAAGATGAATTGAAAGAGGTTACCATTAGGAGTGTGTGCTTGTTCCTTTTTTCTATGTTACTATCAGATAGACACTCAGATAGAAAGAATTTTTTTCAAGTCCTGCTGCTCTGAAGGCATTCTGTCTGCAACTCTTGTGCAGTTCTGGGATCTGGAATCTGCACATGTGTACATATGAAGGCAAGAGGTCAATAGTTTTTTCTGGCCCTCAATACAACTATACTGTGGAGTCTATCCACATGGGGATTAAATATTTTTCCTTCTTTCCTGCTTTCCTTCCTTCCTTCCATCCTTTCTTCCTTCCTTCTTTCCTTCCTTTCTTTCTTCTTTCCTTCCTTCCTTCCTCCCTTTCTTCCCTCCCTCCCTTTCCTTCCTTCCACTCTCTCTTCCTCTTTTCCTCTCTCCATCTCTTTCTTTTTCTCATTTTTCCACTATGGAGCTCCAGATAACCTTAAGTTAATGATCCCCCTGTCTCTGCCTTTGGAATGCTGAGATTAAAGGTGTGAAACACCATATCTGGTGTATGCATAGTGTGTTTTGCAAGTCTGGATATAGAGTTGCTTTGTTAACTTGTTGATAATGTTGAAATCTGCCTGCACTATTAATTGTGTCCATATAACTCCCTCGGCTTTGTCCATGAGGCAGAGTTTGAGACAATGGCCTGTGGTGCCTGCCACACAGTCAGATATGAATAAATCTAATTAGATTTAATGTAGGGCAGAAAACATGTTGTTCAGAGATAGTGGCATGAAGACAGCTTCGATTCTCATACCAGGTACCTGTTAGGTAAAGGGAAAAATAACTTAAAAAAAAAAAGACTTCATCCCTGAAAACATTCTAATATGTGCGTATAAGGGGCTGGAATAAATTTATTTACTTGCACTGGGCAATCCAGTGATGAGTTTGTTCCCTTTGAGGCCATTTCTTTCCAGGAGGCTTTCAGGAGTGCGTATAAGACTCTGCCTCATCATCACTCAGCTTCCTTACCTAGATGACTTGTTGAATGCATACCTACCACCTCAACTAAGATGTCTTCCTTGATTTACTCAAACTGAGCTCTGGATCTCTCCCATGGCATAGCCCTCTCTCTCCTGACTCTCTATTAGTTTTTAGCAGTTCTTTCCAAACATTATGAGAGCAAATTGTTTACTTCCCTCACTGGTCTATGGACTTCTTGAGTGAGAAATCTAGGAACATGGATCCTATGTATCTGCACTCCTAATGTCTATCATAACTTCTGGACTCCAGGTTGCATTTGAAAAGCATGAATGAATGAGAAAATGACTTTTCTTAGGAATATACCTTTAAGAGGTCATCTAATTAGATAAATGTTAAAGTATACGAGCTCGCTCATATAACTTATTGCTTAATCCACACACCTTGCCTGTAAAAATGGCACTTTCCTCTTTACATAGCAGATGTGAAAACTAAAAATCAAAGAGACACATAGATAATAATAACAGAGCATGAAATAATCAATTGTGTTTTCATTCTGAACCCAGTACAGGTATGATTAAAAGCTTTCCCATCTGCTTTAGCTGAATGAGTCATAAATCTGCTAGATGTAAAATTTAGTATTCCTTGAAGTTACCGAGGCAGAGACAGAAAACATGTTGATTCTCCAGGCTGGCAGAGTCTGACTATAGAGAAGCCTGCCAGCAACTGTTTTCAGTAAATGTAAAAATCATTTACACTATATGTCACTGAGTAGGATAATTTCTCCAAGGATTCTAAATGCTTCCAGACCTGTGCTGATATCCAGAATTGCTCCATGAAAGAATACAGGATTGTGTAATGTTTTCAAATAAGTAGACAATCCCAGCTCAGTTGGTAAAATTAGGATAAAATATTTACCCCCCACCCATAAATATTTTACTTCAGTTTCATATACTTATCACAGGAGCAAAATCCAAAGAAATATTTTTGAAAACCAATTATGTTTCTGAAATAATTTGCTTTTCTTACATTCCCAAATGAACAGGAAGTGGAATTGTTGCTCTGATTCTCAGCAAGATTAATTCCATCAGATAAAGAATAAAGGTAGTTATAAAGTTAATTTGAAACTTACCTCTGATGGAAGAAAGGGTTCCTGAATTACCTTGTTCCAAACAGACCATTCCTAATATTAAAATCAGCTTGTCCTTGCTTATAGGCATGGTGAGATCCAAAGCTTCCTCCTGAAATCTAGAGAGGTCAAGGGAAGCAAGGGAGGCAAGCGTTGGAAGAATAGCAATAATCCACTTAAAACAAAGTTATTTATTAACCAAGACTTGAGGCACTCAACCTTGTCCATAAGATGTTTCTGAATGTGGTTTCTTGGAAATGTCTTTTGTAAGATGTGGGGGTTAACTTCAGAAGCAAAGTCTTGGTTGAGTGACATAACATATTTTATTCCACCTACAGCAGTAAGTTGCTTTCCACAATGTTTCTGGTTTAGCAAAGTGGGTAGTGTCTAAGGTTTTCATTTGTGATTGCTGCTTGCTCCTTTTCCTATAAAAGATTGAATATTGGTGTGTGACACTATTTCTGGGGAGATTCAAACGACTGTTTACTCATCCCTGATAGGAAACTGATGACAGACTAAAGTGGGGATACCGCCAACATCCAATGAGTTTTATTGGAGTTATTATAGGAATATGGGTGAGGGGTTACTATAATAGCGGAAATGACTCAAAGACAGCTGCATCACCAAAAAACCCACCCCAGCATGGGTGATAGCTCACAAAAGCTGGGAACCTACAGCACAGTGCACAACCTACAGACAGTTGAACAAGTTGGAGAGAGTCTTTTGTAGGTAGGTCCATTGGATTGAGCCTCTTCTAGGCAGCTCAGTTCTTATGAGAGTGTCTTTCAGCAGTCTTTACTAGTTACATATACTTGGAAGAGAGGAGCATAGTAAATCTGGCCAGTTTCAGGGACTTCCTAAAGCTGTTGTGTTGTTTACATTTTTTTTCTCTCTTTCTCCATTTTGGTATTGTGAGACAGGGTTTCTCTATAGCTGTGGGCCTATGCTGGAACTCTCTCTGTAGATAGGGCTGGCCTTGAATTCATAGAGATTCACGTGCCTCTGCAACTTGAGTGCTGGGATTAAAGGTGTGCACTACCATCAACTGACTGTGTTGTTTACTGCTTGAGCCTTAACCAGCTTCCCTTTAGAGCTTCCTAAGTTTTAAGGAGCTTCCTGTTTTATCTCAGGAGAATTTGCTACACAACCAATATCAACATTGTCCCTTTGCAAGTGTAGAGATTCTTAGCTGTTTGCAAACAGTCCACCAGAATATACTAAAACATTTTACTCCTCTACTTTTCCAAGTGTAGCTGCACAGTTATTATTACCATGTGTTAGTGAGGAAGAGGATGAGAAAACTAACTGGGTAGCACACTCCATTCGGTACACTGCTAGACACCTCTTTAGGATTTTAGCTTGCTGTCCCCTGGGGTTTTTGTGAAACTTCACTTTCCACTATTTAAAAATATATTCTAGAAGGCAAACAATCTTAACTTCTACACCTGGTAGATGTCTAGACACTGAAAAGTGACTATAATTACTTCCATGTTTCCCTCTTTCTGGCTAAATTGTTGGCATGTTGTGTTGGCCAGTTTTATGTCAACTTGACACAAGCTATACCCATTTAAAAATAGGAATGAGAAAATTCCTCATAAGCTTTGAATAGAGCCCAGTCTGTAGTGCATTTTCTTCTTATCAATTGATGTGGGAGGGCCAAGCTCACCAAGGGCAGTGTGACATCTGGGCAGGTGGTCCAGGATGGTCTAAAAAATTTGGCTTCTGCAACCTTTCTTGCCTCCAGGCTTCTAATTAAATTCTGATTTCCATGAATGATGAACTCACTATAAATTGTAAGAAGAAGTAAATCTTTCCTTCCAAGTTGCTTTTAGTTGTGATATTTTCCAATTAAGACACACATAGTGTGCAAGAAATTCATATAGGTTGACAGTGTCATAACCATGTAGGAATATGAAATGCGTCTGTGAACTTCCTATAAGTTATGTATTCAAAAATCCAAATGATGATCTAAAAGCCCCTTTTCCCAGACAGGGTTCTCTGTATTGTTTTGGAGCCTGTACTAGAGCTAGCTCTGTAGACCAGGCTGGCCTCGAACTAAGAAATTCACCTGCCCATGCCTCCCGAGTGCTGGGATTAAAGGCGTGTGCCACCAATGCCTGCCTGGTCTAAAAGCTTTATAACCCCTTTATGACAAAACTTCCAATTGCACAAAATAAATTTATGAACCAACAAACACACAAATGTAAGATAATTATTTCTTTTTTCTTTACTAATTTGCTCTTTATCTCTCTAAAACAATGCCATTATATATTTTTAAGTTTTAATATTTTATTAGGTATTTGGGAACTTGATCATATTCATTACTCCTCCCTGAAAATTCTTCCCACATCCACCCTACTTCCATTCACCCAATTTGTGTCCTAAATCAATCAAGACCAATTTCTGCTGCCCAAGTGTTCTTGGACATATGGCCTTCTTCTGGAACAGTGGGCCATATCTTGTGGATATACTTTTGTAAATCTCCTAGAGGAATTAGCATCAAGATTTATCCTGAGTAAATGACAGAAAGCTGTTGTCAGAAAAGCTAAACTGTGACAATGTTTGCCAATGTTCCAGAAAGAAGACTTAAATCATTATGGAGTCTAAATAACAGAACATCTAATGACACAGCTTTAATACCAGCACTAGAAGTGAATATAAGGTGGGAGGAGACAGAAGCAGTAGAGGAGACTGAGGTTTGGTGGAGATAGATGTGGCTAGATTCAATCTGAGGATTTGTGGAGACAGGTCCATCTTTTCAGTATGAGGTAGAGGTAAGAGCTAGTGGCTGTCCACTTTGCTTCTCTGATCTTCAGCTTTAACCCCAATATCTGTTTCTGGGTTTTTATTATTCATGCTACAGACTAGAGGACATACAATATTATGAACCATGATGACCAACTTAAGTCTCACATAAAATACAAAGGTAGAGACAGAAGAATCATCTGGCCTCAGCAGTTTACATCCAGCTCATCTCATTTTTTTTTTTATGATGCTCTTAACTCTCCACTCCACAAATTTGTTTTTTAGAAACAAACCATGGGTTTTAAATTATTTAATCTATAATTCAATGAGTCTCTTCAAGACGAGAAGCCAATAAAAACACAACTAAAATTTCCTTTCACAACTTCAAGAAATGCCACATCACATTTTATTTATGAAATTTTAAATTTACTAAGCATTCTGAAACATACTGAGCTAATTTCTCAAGACCTGCTGAACTTGCTGAGGTGCTACCAAGGGATTTCTTTCTCTCTGAAGGCTACTTTCCCCCTTTAGGTGTCTTACTTAGTGTGAGTTCACCATCTATCCTCTCTAGAGACTCTCACATACTGAACTTCCTGATCTATATTTCTGATCTATTCCTTTTTTTCCCCTTAAATCTATTCATTTTTAATGTTATTCAGTGTCTTTTTCCTCTTGTGCTCTAGGCATCTGGTGATGGCTATTTCTCACAGATGTCATAGAGATGATCACAGCTTTGTCAATGCTAATTGTGTTTATACAAATCAAATCTCAAAATTAATTAGATCGTTTCAGTTGTAATACTGTCTACCAATAATGAAGATAATAAACAAAGCCCTTGGGATTAGGTCAGCACAATAATAAATGAAAATGAAAACACACTCAATTTTTTTCAATCTCATTAAATTTTCTCCCATTGGATTTTCAACAAGATGCTAGCAGACAGGAGCATGTCTAGAGGTGAGGTACTTACGCTCGTACATTGCAAATGGTTCTGAATCCTGCATAAGAAATCCCTGCAGCACAAGGATGATTCCTGAAACTTTTTCTTATAATGTGTAGCTAGCAGGTAATATTCAGTCTTTGTTATTGATGTGTACATGTCCCAGGAACAAAATTTGCAGTCATTTTTAATCTATCACAAATCAATCAATAATGTATAATGTCTATAGAGCATCATACTAACCAGTCCTACATTATTACCAAGGTATAATTATTTAAGATACTTCATAGCTTGGGAATTTAGAGTAAATAAGAAACATAAATTCAAATTCAAAACCTACATCAGGATAAATCAGTATAAAAATTCTTAGGAGAGGGGACTACACATAGGGTTTTGTTTTCTATTTGGGTTTGTTTTTGACCAAGGGACGAGGTTGAGATAAAAACATTTCTTTCATATTCTTGGCTAGTAAGATGATACTTTCACTGAGGCTCAACAGGGACATTCTTGCATTTTAAGTAGATGTGGAGTGAGGTCAGGCATGGGAGCCTCACCTCTCGATGCCCCACTGTTTCATGTTCTTGTCTTCAACGCCTACACAGCCATCAAAGCACAGCTGTGGAGTGGGGCTCACAACTCTAGATACTGTGTTTCTGTTGCAGCCAGTTTAATGCCGGTGATCAATTCCCAGTGAGGATATCTTTTATTTCATAGAATCCAATTTCTGAATTCTGAATAAAAATATCAGATCATTAAATGATTAGTTAGTAGTTATATATATTCATGGTGCACAAACACGTTGGTTAGATGTAGATATTAATCATAGAAAGGTTAAACTTAGTTGCTACTATAGCCATCACCTCACTGCTCTGTCACTCTTACACCACATTTCAAAAACATCAGCTCTATACTTTAACAAGTTAAAATTTAATACATTATTAATTATGGTTATAGTAGTCCAACTGCTACAATATATTATTAATATTTAATTTAAACTTTGTACCATTCTGCTCACTCCTTCCCTCCGTTCGCACTCATGCTGCCTACTGCCCCCACTATCTGGTGACCACCAGTATACTATTTGTTCTATGAAACACACTCTTCAGTTTCAAAAAAGAGTTGTTCATTATTTGTTTTTCTCTCCTTCGTTATCCTAATGCAGTGTCTTCCGGGACTTTCTATGTTACTGCAATGATGATATTACCTTCCTTTTAAGGCAACACAAGGTTTTCTGTTCAGGTATCATTTTAGTAATAAGCATTCTAAAATGGGGAGGGGGGTGTTACTATCTCACTGTCAATTTAATATGCATATTTATAATGATTGTAGATGTTGAACCTTTTTCACACTTGTGATATTTAAATTTATAGTATAAGAACTGAAAATATTTTAGTATATTTCCT